AGAAAGAAAGAAAGAAAGAGAAAGAGAGAGAAAGAAAGAAAGAAAGAAAGAAAGAAAGAAAGAAAGAAAGAAAGAAAGAAAGAGAGCGACCGGTTTTTGGTGCTGGGAGAGAGGAGAGACCGACTCAGGGGCCTTCCTGATCCTTCTGAGGAGGGCAGGGGCCCCTCCGGGGGGTCTTCAGAGGCCAGCAAGGTGCTTACCGCTTTTTCCAGGAAGAGGCTGTCCCCAGATAAGTGGTACGTGCTCAGAAGGCCCCCCAGGATACGAATGGCGCTCTCAAAGAGATTGACATCTACGTCCTTCTTGAAGTCCAGCTCCTTGGCGACCCACTCTCGGGCTTCTTTGAACTCTGCATAAGGAAAGGAACCCCAGGAGTTTCAGCCAGGAAGGGAAAAGCTCGGCCAAGGATCGGCCTCCGGATCTCGCCTACGCTGAGAGAGTCGGGCTCAGTGGCTCCGGGTTAGGGGGGAGGATTTATCTGTGAGTTTGAGAAGCTTCTCCTTTGCCTGCTGAACGCTGGGCTCTCCCTCCAAACAGGCGCCCCTCAGAGGCAGCCGCCTCAACCTACAAGGCTGGATTTTTGTGGGCGGGCGAAGGCAGAGGGAAAAGGAGGGAGCCCGCTGTGCCTAAGGCCTCCTCCAGACTCCCCTGGCCGTGGGAGGAAGGCCGAGCCAACCGGCAGGCGAGGCACGGACCTGCCTTTAAGCCCAAGATCCACATGGTGTCCAGCGCGTCGATGAGCGTCAGCCCCAGGCCAAACCATTCGTTGAAGGACTTGGAGATGGGCTTCAGCTCGTCGTGACCCCAGGCAAACTCCTTGTAGCCTTTCCAGGCGTGGCGGAAGGCTTCGATCACGGCCAGCTGGCGCTTATTGAGGGCCCCTGGAAGAGGAAGGAAGAGACGTCGGGAGCTGCTCTGGAGGGGAAAGGCCTTCGTCACAGGAGGAAGAAGGGGTGGGCTGCCACCTCAGCAAAGACCCCCCCTGGGTTAAGCCGAGCCCTGCCCACTACCTGGCTCTTTCTGGTCCTCGGATGCCACGGCGGAAGGCCTCCCCAGGTGGTTTGTTTTCCTGGAAGGCGGCTCGGGGCTTGGGTTGGGCTCAATCACGGCTCCCCTCCAGCTGCAGAAAGAGGCTTTTTATGGCTTCTCTACTCTACGCTACAGCCAGTGGCAGAAAGACACACCCCCCCCCGGTCATAGGGGAGCATTCTACAGCGCCTTCCCTGCCAATCGGCACAAGTGGGCAGTCCTTGTGGGCATGGCTCCCGGCATCCCCAGGCCAGGCCTCTGTTAGCTGCGACCCGTTCACCTGCCAGTCAACCATCCCATCTTCCCTACGTTACTAAAACGTGCAGGAGCCCAAAACCGTCTTAGGCGAAACCGAGAGAAGCCAACGGCTCACCTAATGACGGGCTTCTCCGGGTTCTCCACCTGAGCTGCCTGGCCAGGTTTCCCCTCCGCTTCTTGGGACCTGGCCTCCGTCTCCCGCCAAGGTGGCCGGATCTGCAGGTTCGGAGGCCCTCGACGGACAGGAACCTGTTTCAGAGGTTTCTGGAGGGGAAAAAAAGAATGCAAAGGAATCAGTGGATGGGCAGGAGTGGAGAAATCACAGCTGGAAGTCTAAATACTTCAAAGACGGCAGGGAAAAAGGTTAGGCTGCCCCATTGGCCTAAGGCAGTGGTTCCCAAACTTGGCAACTTTAAGACTTGTGGACTTCAACTCCCAGAATTCTCCAGCCAGCAGAGCTCTGCTGGCTGGAGAAT